GAAAGTAAGACAAAAAATAAAGGAAATCAGCCAAAACTAGACAGCCAAGTACAAAGCAGAAAAAAAAGAATTGCCAAATCCAGACTTTTTTTATTTCTTGCACAGTTAACTTCCTTATCTTCTTCAACTTTAGTTCTTACTTTTTCCTAATCTTACTAGTTCCTTCCTTATCTTCTTCAACTTTAGTTCTTACTTTTTCCTAATCTTACTAGTTCCTTCCCACCTATCTTTTATAAGAAAACAAATTACTTAAGTACCTGAATAGAGACATCTGTGGTATAAAAAAAAATACAAAAGAATAGGGAAAAAGAGCAATTATTTTTAAATGTGAAAATTTAAAAGTGAATTTGGTTAAAAGTACCTAACAGTAGCTGGCATGTGTGTAAGTAGGTAACTATTACACCTTACTCTTTTTAAAGAAAGAAGCTCCTTTTTTACATATATACACACACCCCATAAGTACACAGAACCCCAACTCTTTCACAGACTCTTTTGTGATCAGAACATCTAATATCACCCAACCCTAGCCAAAGAGACAAAGGGGTGTAACTGTTTTCAAGTGATAATTTCATCCACTGATTCCACTTTTAGAAATACATCTTAAGGACATATACCCGTAACGTGCAAGACGTAGACAGATACTCAGTGACACACTGCATGCAGTAGTAGAGGGAGCAATGGGTGCACATCAAAAGAAATCTTATTAAGTAAATATGGCATAACCATATAGAGAAGTACTATGTAGTCATCAATGTACATATGATACTTATTAAATACCTGAGCTCATATAGCACATTAAGCCTTCATTTGAAGCAAATCAATAACCAATTTAAAAACATGGAAATGCAGTAAAAGTAGAACTCAACAACAAAAGTAAAGACAAAAAACATGCAAACAGCTGGAAACTAAATAACTCATTACTTAATGAAGAATGGTCATCAATGAAATAAAAGAGGAAATTAAAAAGTTCCTGGAAGTCAATGAAAATGAAAACACAACCTACCGGAACCTATGGGACACAGCTAAGGCAGTCTTGAGAGGAAAGTTTATAGCCATGAGTGCATATATTAAAAAGATTGAAAGATCCCAAATCAATGACCTAATGATACATCTCAACTACCTAGAAAAACAAGAACAAGCAAATCCCAAAACAAAGAGAAGGAGAGAAATAATAAAAATAAGAGCTGAAATCAATCGAAATAGAAACCAAAAAAAACCATACAAAGAATAATGAAACAAAAAGTTGGTTCTTTGAAAAAATAAACAAGATCGATAGACCCCTGGCAAACCTGACTAAAATGAGGAGACAGAAAAAACCCAAATTAGTAGAATAGGAATGCAAAAGGGGAGATAACAACAAACACCATGGAAGTCCAGGAAATCATCAGAGACTACTTTGAGAACCTATATTCAAATAAATTTGAAAATCTAAAAGAAATGGACAGATTTCTAGATACATATGACCATCCAAAACTGAACCAAGAGGAAATTAATCACCTGAATAGACCTATAACACAAAATGAAATTGAAGCAGCAATCAAGAGTCTCCCCAAAAAGAAAAGTCCAGGACCTGATGGATTCTCTGCTGAATTCTATCAGACCTTTAAAGAAGAACTGATACCAACCCTCCTTAAACTGTTCCACGAAATAGAAAGGGAAGGAAAACTGCCAAACACATTTTATGAAGCCAGTATTACACTTATCCCAAAACCAGGCAAAGACACCTCCAAAAAGGAGAACTATAGGCCAATCTCCTTAATGAACATTGATGCAAAAAATCCTCAACAAAATAATGGCAAACGAATTCAGCACATCAAAAAGATTATTCACCACGACCAAGTAGGCTTCATCCCAGGGATGCAGGGGTGGTTCAACATACAAAAATCAATAAACGTAATAAACCACATTAACAGAAGCAAAGACAAAAACCACTTGATCATCTCAATAGATGCAGAAAAAGCCTTTGATAAGATCCAACACCATTTCATGATAAAAGCTCTAAGAAAACTAGGAATAGAAGGAAAGTTCCTCAACATTATAAAAGCTATATATGACAAAACCTACAGCCAGCATTATACTTAACGGAGAAAAACTAAAACCATTCCCTCTAAAATCAGGAACCAGACAAGGATGCCCACTATCTCCACTCCTATTCAACATAGTACTGGAATTCCTAGCCAGAGCAATTAGGCAAGAAGAAGGAATAAAAGGAATACAAATAGGTAAAGAAACTGTCAAAATATCCCTATTTGCAGACGACATGATCCTATACCTTAAAGACCCAAAAAAACTCTACTCAGAAGCTTCTAGACATCATCAATAGCTATAGCAAGGTAGCAGGATACAAAATCAACATAGAAAAATCATTAGCATTTCTATACACTAACAATGAGCAAACGGAAAAAGAATGTATGAAAACAATTTCATTTACAATAGCCTCAAAAAAAGCAAATACCTAGGTGTAAACCTAACAAAAGATGTGAAAGACCTCTACAAGGAAAACTACACTTCTGAAGAAAGAGATTGAGGAAGACTATAGAAAGTGGAGAGATCTCCATGCTCATGGATTGGTAGAATCAACATAGTAAAAATGTCGATACTCCCAAAAGTAATCTACATGTTTAATCCAATTCCCATCAAAATTCCAATGACATTCATTAAAGAGATTGAAAAATCTGTTAAATTTATATGGAAACACAAGAGGCCACGAATAGCCAAGGCAATACTCAGTCAAAAGAACAATGCAGGAGGTATCACAATACCTGACTTCAAACTATATTACAAAGCAATAACAATAAAAACAGCATGGTACTGGCACAAAAACAGACATGAAGACCAGTGGAACAGAATAGAGGACCCAGATATGAAGCCACACAACTATAAGCAACTTATCTTTGACAAAGGAGCTAAAAATATACGATGGAGAAATAGCAGCCTCTTCAACAAAAACTGCTGGGAAAACTGGTTAGCAGTCTGCAAAAAACTGAAACTAGATCCATGTATATCACCCTATACCAAGATTAACTCAAAATGGATCAAGGATCTTAATATCAGACCCCAAACTCTTAAGTTGATACAAGAAAGAGTAGGAAATACTCTGGAGTTAGTAGGTATAGGTAAAACTTTCTCAATGAAACCCCAGCAGCACAGCAACTAAGAGATAGCATAGATAAATGGGACCTCATAAAACTAAAAAGCTTCTGTTCATCAAAAGAAATGGTCTCTAAACTGAAGAGAACACCCACAGAGTGGGAGAAAATATTTGCCAACTATACATCAGACAAAGGACTGATAACCAGAATATACAGGGAACTTAAAAAACTAAATTCTCCCAAAAAACTAATGAACCAATAAAGAAATGGGCGTGAACTAAACAGAACTTTCTCAAAAGAAGAAATTCAAATGGCCAGAAAACACATGAAAAAATGCTCACCATCTCTAGCAATAAAGGAAATGCAAATTAAAACCACTAAGATTCCACTCACCCCTGTTAGAATAGCCATCATCAGCAACACCACAACAACAGGTGTTGGCGAGGATGCGGGGAAAAAGGAACCCTCTTACACTGTTGGTGGGAATGTAACTAGTACAACCACTCTGGAAAAAAATTTGGAGGCTACTTAAAAAGCTGGACATCGATCTACCATTTGATCCAGCAATACCACTCTTGGGGATATACCCAAAAGACTGTTACTCCAGAGGCACCTGCACACCCATGTTTATTGCGGCACTATTCACAATAGCCAAGTTATGGAAACAGCCAAGATGCCCCACCCACTGACGAATGGATTAAGAAAATGTGGTATCTATACACAATGGAATTTTATGCAGCCATGAAGAAGAACGAAATGTTATCATTCGCTGGTAAATGGATGGAATTGGAGAACATCATTCTGAGTGAGGTTAGCCTGGCCCAAAAGACCAAAAATCGTATGTTCTCCCTCATATGTGGACATTAGATCAAGGGCAAACACAACAAGGGGATTGGACTATGAGCACATGATAAAAGCGAGAGCACACAAGGAAGGGGTGAGGATAGGTAAGACACCTAAAAAACTACCTAGCATTTGTTGCCCTTAACGCAGAGAAACTAAAGCAGATACCTTAAAGCAACTGAAGCCAATAGGAAAAGGGGAATAGGTACTAGAGAAAAGGTGAGATCAAAAAGAATTAACCTAGAAGGTAACACCCACGCACAGGAAATCAATGTGAGTCAATGCCCTGTATAGCTATCCTTATCTCAACCAGCAAAACCCCTTGTTCCTTCCTATTATTGCTTATACTCTCTCTACAACAAAATTAGAAATAAGGGCAAAATAGTTTCTGCTGGGTATTGAGAGGGGGAGGGGAGAGGGAGGGGGCGGAGTGGGTGGTAAGGGAGGGGGTGGGGACAGGGGGGAGAAATGAACCAAGCCTTGTATGCACATATGAATAATAAAAGAAAAATGAAAAAAAAAAAAAAACTCTCAGCTAAAAAAAAAAAAGAATTCTTTGGGCTCCCTTCAATAGTTCAGCTGGTAGAGTGGAGGACTGTAGTAAAGAATTCTTTAAATGGGGAGTATTTTCAAGATGGAAAGGCTATAAAAGGCATTACTATTTAATAAATTAAATAGTGAAGTCAATGAGTAATGGTCCATGAAATGCAGAAATACAGGGCAATCTTCCTGAGCACTTAAGTAATTCTAGGTGTTTTTAAGTTAATCACTTAATTACCAACTCCATACTGTGAAAAAATACAGAAAAAAAAACCTCTTAATTTTAACACCTACTATAATTTATACTTTTACCAGATGCCAGAGCATAGAATACAAATATACCACAAACCTCATTATAATACTATCCTCCAAGTCTACTCAAGGAGAGTCTTATAGTTGGTTCTAAATATGTTTGCTCAATTTTAATAAATAAACTTAGATTAAAAAGGAATCAGTTCTACAGAATAATTATATAAACATTTCCTAAGGGCAAAATCATATTTATTATTAAACAGTTTAGACAAATAGTAAAAAGTAAGGTTTGCAAGTTTATTAAATCCTTACTTTACAGATTTCCCTTGTATTGCATATTCATGATTCAGAAGGCTGTTCTCTAACAGAAGGGGATGAGAAAAGAAAAAAGATAAAAGAGCAAAATAAGGGCTATTCCTCTCCTTCTTTCACACATCTGACACTTTCACATGTTGCAGGTCTTCACTACTTACCATGCCTTCAAAGCCAACTCTATAAAGGTTCTTAGCACCATTATCCCAGAGAACATAAGCTGCGCTATGTGGACTTGATGCACTCCAGTCCTGGATTTCTGTTACCTATCACAAGTTTTGGAGAAAAGAAAACTTTTTAAAAAGGGGAAGACAGAGTTAATTCTTTTAATTATTGTATTTAAATCTTAAAAATCATTTGATCAACCTGTGTAACAGGATCAGGAAAATATGTCACTTCTAACATATAATTAAATCATTAAAGTCACATTTTTCCAGAATTACAAAGTAGCTGGCTTTTGGGGGGTTGTTGGGGGGGTTTTTGTTTTGTTCCGTTTTGGGATTAATTTTAGAGCCAGGGTCTCACTGAATTCTTGATCCTTCTGTCTCACCCTCCCAAATCCTCCTGGGATTACTGGCATGTGACCCCACACCTTGCATCAGAATTACAAAGTAATTTCTAAAACTACTGTTATAATTTTAAATTGGGGATTACAGTAATAGATTACCAGAAAATGAATAATTCGATGCAAAATTTACAATCTTTCTATTCTTAAAAGTTTCTTTTAAGAATAGCATACACAGAACAAAAATAAGAATAGCAGGGCACAGGTGGCTCACTCCTATAATCCTGACTACTTAGGACATGGAGATTGGGAGAATTGCAGTTTGAGGCCAGCCTGGACAAATACAAAAAGAGTTCACGAGACCCCCATCTCCTAAATAACTAGAGCAAAATGAACTGCAGGTGTGGTTCAAGCAGTAGCGTGCCTGTTTTTGAGCGCCTGCTTCGTAAACATGAAGCCATGAGTTCAGACCTCAATCCCACTAATGTTTAAAAAAAAAAAAGTATATACTTTTCAACCACTTACTCAATACAAAATTTAAGATCTTAGTCAAATATCCAAAATGATTCAAGATAAACCTCCCTCACCAACTAAAATTTAACAAGCACAAAGTCAAATTTGGGCAGTATTGGTAATGGAACCCCAAACTTCACACATGCTAGACAAGTACCCTACCACTTAAGCCACACTCCCAGCTCTCTTGTATGTATTTTGTTTCTGAGATAGGCCTTTCAATGTAGCTCGAACTGGCCCAGATCTCATGATCTTCCAATGTCCACCTTCCAAATAGAATTACAGACACGTACCACCAAGCACAAAACTTTTGAAAATCCTTAGTGTCAATCTTCAAAGAGGACTCCAGCTATTTCTTCCTGCAGCAGTAAGTATCTGTTAGCCCCAAATAAGCAGACCATCAACGCTAAAGCGTTGACTCCTAGTCTGCAGGACCGCATTGATTGGCATTATGGCTGTATTAACGGTCCATGAACATCCAGACACCATCTCCACACAATCACCAAACTGATGCTTAAACTTACATGATTATAATACACACACACACACACAAAGCAGCTGTCATTGCTTAAGGGTTTAGTATCAACTACTCAAAATGACATACAGCAAGCAAACTTGGGCATTTTTCAAGTAAGTTAGTCTTCAGATAATAGTAGAAAGCTGCATACATGCAGTTCAAATTATTTTTCTCCATTCTGCCATGTATCAGCAACCCTTCATAAACTTAAAAACAGACTACTATTACTTTAAATAAAATACACAATAACCTTTCTTTTTTTGTTCTGTAATAAATAGTTTTGTAAGGTAGGTATTGTATGGTGCTTTTGTAGAAATGAAAAAGTTTTGTTTCTGACCTAATGAATCATTTGAGAAATATTTTTAATTATTAGAAAAGAAAGCCATTTATTCTTGTGTATTTTCAAATACATTATACATTATAAACATATAGCATATGTAAACTTTACAGAGTAAAAAAATGCATACCCACATAATTATTACCCAGCCTAAAGGAAAATAAAAAATACTACCAATTCTTCTCAAGTCTTCTTTTTGCATATCATCACTATCACTCTTCTGCCTTCCAACAAAAGTAACTATCACCCTGAATTTAGAGTCTGTCACTGCCTTACTTTGCTTTATGATTTAGCTCAACTATTCAATACACAGCCTTCCAAGAAAGTTTCTAATGCTTTAGTGAAATATAAAACATGCAATTTTTAGCAAAAAAAAATTCCTGATTTTAAAAAATATGATACTCTGAGCCAGGCACTGGTGGCTCACTCCTATAATCCTAGCTACACAGGAGACTGAGATTGGGAGGATCAAGGTTGAAAGCAAGCCCAGGCAAATAGTTCCCAAGACTCCATCTTCAAAATAACCAAAACAAAACTGACTGAAGGTGTGGCTCAAGTGGCAGAGTGCCTGCTTTGCAAGTGTGAAACCCTGAGTTCAAACTCCAGTTCCACCTTAACACCGTATCATATATGATAAATATATAAATAAGTTTGAATTTTTAGAGAAGAGACAAAAAAGCATTTGACTAGCTAAAAGACAAAGACAAATTTTATTTAAATCAAAGTCACTCTACATTTCAAATTACTTGGGATACAACCAAGTTCATTAATCAATTCTGAATCATTAGATGAAATTCTTAATTTGTTAAAATGATGTTATTTACTATTGACAGAAACAAAGTAGAAGGTATAACAAAATAACTACAGCTATTTTATACTTCCAATCCTGATTTTAAAACTTGTATGGGCTGCGGATATAGCTCAGTGATAGAGGTTTGCCTTTACCCTGAGTTCAAATCCCAGAACCATGAAGGGAAAGGGGAAGGGAGGGGAAAGGGAAAGGAGAAGGGATGTACGGAGCTAGGTGTGTTAATGTGCGCCTGTAATCCTAGCTACAGGAGACTGAGGTGAGACGATCACTTGAGCCCAGGAGTTCAAGTCTCCTGGGGCAACATAGCAAGACTCTGTCTGCCCTACCTCCCCTCTACCCCCTGCCCCTCAAAAGAACAGTATGGTATATCTACTAAAACCATTAGGTATAAGGTTTCTGAGAAACACTATAATGGATTGGTCTGACAATACTACATACAACCATCCATCAATGTAACATCTGTAATATTAATACAATCAGACTTGAAGTGTCCCCCATATGCTACAACAGAAAATAGACAGCATGGGGCTGGGGATGTAGCTCAGTAGCAGAACACTTGCCTAGCATGTGAAAGGCCCCAGGGAGGAAGAGGGGGAGAGATGAGAAGAGGGGAGGAAAGGGGAGGGGAAAGGAGGGGAGAAGGAAAAGGAAGAGGAAGAAGAAAAGGAAAAGAGAGAAGAGAATAGAAAATCCAATCTGGGTATAGTGGTACAAACCTATAATCTCTGCACTGAGGAGGCTGAGGCAGGAAGATAGCAGGTTTAAGGCTAGCCTGAGCTATACAGTGAGACCCTATCTCAAAAGAGAGAAAAAAGAAGAAGAAAAGAAAAAAATAGAAAAAGAAAATGCACAGCATCACTTGTAATGTACACATGCCAAAATAAAATTGAACCTGAATCTAATCAAGCCTCTAGATCTAACAACCAGTTTATAGGAAATACAAGGACTAGACGTACAAGTTAAAATCAGCACAAATAACCAATCAGTCAAACCTAAAGAATTTGATTTCAACAAATAAATGGCATTTTTTAAATAAAAGTTGATAAGATGGGAGATGAGTGCCTAAGAATTTGTGGTGCTATTCTTTCTACTCTGGTATATGATGTTCCAGCAAGAATGTCTTTAAAAAGAAGTAAACAGGACCTAGTGTACCTATATGAAACACTGAACTGACATGTATTCAAAAGCACCTATAAAACAAAAATAGCCTTGAAGTACAGACATGGGTACTAGTGCTTGAGAATTCCTATTATAAGAATACGTAACGCACTATTCAATGTAGGTTACATAGGTCAGCTAGGATAAACTACATAGCACAGAAAAGAAAGGGAGATGGCTAACTTTCTGCATTCAAGCACCCAGGCAAAAAAAAAAAGTCAAAACATAAAAATTACAATTGATCTTAAATATGTGCTTACAGAATATTACTCAGATTTTTATATCAAGATCCCTTAGTCAGAGTCACATGTACAAGATGATTTCATTTATTTTTCTCATTTTGTTCTTAAAATGTAGTATGTGCTGAATCATAACAAACCAAGAATGTAATACTGATGACTCAAAGCCTCAAGAATGCTTATTTTTAATCTCCCACCTCAGACTTTAATAACAACTGCCTTAGAAAGATGACTTCCAGGCTGGGCACCTGTGGCTCATACCTGTAATCCAAACTACTTAGAGGCAGAAATCAGGAGTATCTCAGTTCAAGGCCAACCCAGGCCAAAATTGAGGCCCTATCTCAAAAATACCTAACACAAAATAGGGCTGGTAGAATGGCTCAAGTAGGAGAGCACTTGCCTAACAAGCATGGACGGCCTCCTCTGGCCACATGAAGTATAGGGAAGAATAAAAAGTCATTTTTTAGAATAAAAGCATTAAAAATGTTCTTCTTATGCACTCTTTCAAAAGAAGTTACTAGAACATGAACTCCACCAAGAACAAAGTAAGCTAAAAGGGGGTACAGAAAACATAAAATCCAGTCAGGAAAAAGGACATGAAAGGGAGCTCCAAGATGATTGCTGAGCACCAGGCGCAGAGAAACCCATCCAGACTGTAGCCATGTGACTCAAGATCCAGACAAGTTGAAGGCTCTTATCATCAAAATCCCCCACTGCCACTGTCTCATTTTACTGGCCTAAGGACATACTGCCCATGTAACCCTGACTCACATCTCAAGTGCACTTGGCTAGTTTGGACTATGTAACAATTACATTCCCACTAGCCCCTCTACCACCCTACCACCTAAAGCAACTGAGATGTCTCTCTCTGTGTCTGTCTGTCTGTCTGTCTCTCTCTCTCTCTCTCCCTCTCTCACAGACACACAAACATATACACAAAGTGAATGTTATGCTTTAACTTACTTCTAAAACTCAGAGATGGGCTATGATGAGGTTATAAACAAAAAAATATACTCCCTGGGATAATACTCCTATCTGATGCCCACCACCTACTTCTGGCATCTGTATGTTGAGCCCTGTGCTCAAAACTCATGGAAGACTCTGCCTGCTGACTTTATTAAGCTTACATTCTCCTGGGAGCCTTCATCTAAAAGGACCAATTCTATACTGTCCTTACAACAGCTAAGTTTGTGCTTGATACTTGGTTTTTCAAAACTTAAAAATGAATTGTTACAGGATACAACATTAAATGAAAAACAATAAAGACAAGGGAATGATAAACACAAAAATCAGAGTATTGGTTGCCTTGCAAGTGGGAGAGTTGCAACTGGAACAGGACACTCAAAGGAACACCAAAGGTTTTTAAGGTACTCATAATATTCTACTTCTTAATCTGTATATTGAGGGCAAAGGTATTCATTTTTGTTTTACTACTATTCCTTAAACTTACACATACATTTTATACATTCTTTGGTGTATCTGTTGCAGGACTGCAATGAATGTTATAGATGCTGTTCACTGCCAAGAGCCCTCACTAAGGAAGAGTAGAGGTTGGCATTCAGCCTGAGCTTTTTTTGTCAGGACCCATGTGCTGGGATAGGGCTGTTCCTTCCCCCATTCCCAAAGAGGTTCCTTATACTCTGCCACTGGCTTGTCAGGAATGCCCCATTTAGTAGTGGCATCTTATCCAAATTCATATTCCTCTACTTTTCTTTCTTTATTTTTTTCTTTTATTCCTATGTGCATACAATGTTTGGGTCATTTCTCCCCCCTTCCCCCATTCCTTTACCTACCCTGCCCCCTTCCTCTCCTCCAGACCCCCTCGGTATCAGGCAGAAACTATTTTGCCCTTATCTTTAATTTTTCTACTTTTCTTTTTAAAGCAATGCTTCTCAAACTTTAATGTGCATATAAATGATCTAGGGACCTTGCTAAAATGAAGATCATGATTGAGAAAGTCTGGATAGAAGTGCACCTACTACCTATCACATTTCTAACACAGCTGTCAGGTGACCCAATGCTGGCTCACACAACACACTACATTCACACGAATTTAGAGTTTCTTTGTTTTTCTCTCTCCTCTAATTAGAATATCGGCTTCAAGGAAGGTAGGAGATGGAAATATAGTGAGAGGTGGGGGATATGTTCAAAGTACACTGTATGCCTATATGGACTAATCACAATAAAATCCCTTCATACTATTAATGCATGTTAATTCAAAAATAAAATAAAATTTTTAAAAACTATTAGAGTAGCCAAGCGCCAGTGACCCACGCCTGTAATCCTAGCTATCTGGGAGGCAAAGATCAGGAGGACTGAGGTTGAAGGCCAGCCTGAAGAAGTAGTTCAAAAGACCCTAACTCCAAAATACCCAACACAGTTAGGCACCAGTGGCTCACCCCTATAATCCTAGCTACTCAGGAGGCAGAGATCAGGAGGATCTCAGTTCAAGGCCAACCTGGGCAAAATGAAAGCAAGACCCTATCTCGAAAATACTCAACACAAAAAGAGTACTGGTGGAGTGGCTCAAGTGGTAGGGTGCTTGCCTAGCAAGTATGAGGCCCTGAGTTCACACCCCAGTGCCAAAAAAAAAAAAAAACATTATTACAGGCAAAATAAAACTGTGATTAAATTGACAAAAACAAAAAAGGATAAGCTTCGAGATGGTAGGAACTTTGTTGTCTTTACTTTTGCCTACAGAACCCTACATGTAAGTGTTCAATAAAATTTACTGAATAAAAAAAGCAAAAATCTTTTTCCTTAATAAAAATAAAGTACTTAAAACATAATGGCTAAGAAACACCCTTCTGACTTTAAAATATTAAAAACAGACTTTTTTAAAAAGTGAAATCAACAGAACTATTCGAATTTAGAAAACTATTTGAAAAAGTATTTAAAAAGCTTAAATTTAAAGTGTAAACAAAGCCCCAAGTCTGTATAAAAGAGGCTTTCAAATTCCTGTGAAGAGTTTCTCAGATAACACAGACTGAGAAAATTGGTATTCTTCAGCGTTAAAAACAAGTTTCTAAAATAAGGTTAACGTAAAACTGATGGTGTGACATCTAAGTCTCAAACGTGAAATGCTACTCATTTAGTACATTTTTGCAGCTAGCAAAACACACTCAGTATTTTTTGAGTCAAGTAATGAATGAATAATCAGCCAAACGAACAAAAGATCCAAAATAAAACAAACCAACAATCCTCTTGCCCAAACACCACTGATATTTCACCCCAGCTAAATAGGCCATACAGAACTCTGTATGGAATAACTGCTAAAGTGGGACATGGTGGTGCAGGTCTATAACCCCAGCACTCAGGAGGCTGAGGCAGGAGGATCATGAGTTCAACATTAGCCTGGGCTTCATGGCGAGACCCTGTCTCAAAAAAAACCAACCAAACAAACAACAACCAAAAAAAAACCCACAAACAGGATAACTGCTATTGGTAGCCCCTACATGATCCAAGAGGGGTAGAGAGGATAGCAGACTGCCCAGGTAAATGCCTACTAGCTGGCAGCACATCTGCCTAGCATGCATGAGGCACTTAGTTCAAAAACAAGCAACAGCCTACTGTGCCTCAGAAACAGGCCTTTGAAGAAATGGATCATAAAGCAAGCCAATCCAAATGACTTTTTTTTGACAATGCTAAGTCTTGAACAAGAGCTCCAAACATGCTAAGAAAATACTCTGCCACTAAGCCACTTGCATCCTCAGTCCCTCAAATAAAAAAATAAAAAATAAAAAATAAATTAAAGTGTGTGTGTGTGTGTGTGTGTGTGTGTGTGTGTGTGTGTGGTATTGGAAGTTTGAACTCAGGGCTTTGTACTTACTAGGCAGCGCTCTACAGTTTGAGCCACACTTCTAGCCCTTTATGTGTTGGTGATTTTTGAGAAAGGGTCTCATTTTTTGCCAGGCTGATCTAGACCTAGGTCCTCCTGTTTTATGTTTCCCACCATCCCTGAGTTGACAGACACTTGCCACCACACCCAGTTTTTCTCTACAGAGATGGGGTCTTGCAAACTTTTGGCATGGGCTAGCCTGAAACCTCTAATCCTTCTGATCTTAGCTTCCCAAGTAGTGATGATTACAGGCGTGACAGGGCCTCAAATGAAATTTTAACATGAGGAAAATCAAGAGCATGAGATGCTTCTTAGGGAGGACTAGCCCAAATGGGATATTCAGAAAGGCACTATGAGCAACAAAATGAATGAAGCCTGAGAGTGGAAGGTAAAACCTATCTAATAACCTTCTCATGGAATACCAAGGCTTACAAACAAATAGGAAAAATCCATTTTCTTCCAGAAAAGAAAAAAAGATTGTAAAGGATTTTAAAAATTGTTATTGGCATAGGAAAAAAAATGAGCCAACAAATTCATTTACAGTAGCAATAAAAAAAATCTTAACATACATCCTAGACTATATGATGAAGTAAGAAAATTCCATACCTTTCCTCTCCGCCCATTTCCTCCATCCTGATCTTCCCACTGCCAGTCCACTCCTCGTACCACTCTGGCACCTGCAAAGATTCCTCTGGCTGTAATCTTCTTAGATTTTCTACGAGACTCTAACAGAACCCTAAAAACAAAGTTTTTATTTTCAAGTTTTTATAAAAATAGGTAATAATACTTTATCTGTAAAAGCACTTACATAGGTATAACGTGTGTTACAGTCCCTAAAAGAAAGACAATGCTAAACTTATCCATTTAACAAATTAACTAAAGTCTCAAAAGTTTGAGTCTCAAAAAAGTTAATAATTTGCCCAATGTCACAAAAATTGAAAAATAATGGAGTCAAAATATGAACCTAGTCTAACCACTTTAGGCTATCATTATATTTCTTCACTACTTTAGGGATGGCAAACTCAAAGCCCTCTATAGCTGCCCCAAAAGTATTAAAATCAGGGTCTAAGAAAATAGCACTACAGTGACAAATGGCAAATAGTCCTTGACTTCAGACTTGGAAAGACAAGAGTTAGTGGCAGGACACTGGTCAACTCAAGAGCATGCTCTAACGGGTTTCATTATCTGTTGCCAAAAAACTAATGCAAGCCTAGTGTTGGAAGTCTTCTGGGGGGTATGCACTTTAAGAATCTATGTAAGGTTAGCAATGACTGAAAAATTTGAAGTAAAAAAGTAAAAAATCTACCAGTAAAAAAGAATGTGACCTAGATTTGACCTTTTCCAAACTTTCTCCAAAGCACTGCATACTTGAGAAGATTATGGACCTTGAAAAAGATTCCACACTCAATTATCTGGGCCACTTTCCTTCTCAACTCTTTAAGAATATTCTCTTACTTATCTTCAAATCACAAATACAGTAGCTGCCATGTGGTCTTAATAAATGCCTACTGACTCAATCAACAGGCCCCATGGTTGATCTGATAGCAATCAACAGAATAAAAGGCATAGTGAGAAGAAAACAATCAGTCTCTCTGGAGTGCACTTGTATTTCCAAATGCTGAGTGGTGGTGCCAAGTCTCCAAATTACATAAAGAATAGCCCAGATTATCTTCCAAAACCATAGATCCATCTTCAGAGTTCCTCTCTCATTATTCAGCAAGCTCAATCCATGTCTAGCCTATATGTTACCTCTTGATACTAAATCTAAACTGTCAGAAGCTATTCCTTAATACTATGTTTAAGACTAAGCATAAAACTTGAATATAAACAAGAAGTCATGACTGAAGAAAAAAATTGTTCTGCTTACCTCTCACTTCCTGGTGTAGTAATTCTGTAAAAACGATGCCTTAAATGATGCTTATCTCCATGATAACAGACCGTGCACAAGTCATAATTTGTACACTCTGCACACTTCCATCGAATGCCAATGATAGGTTGTTGGCGGCAAGTATCACACATAGTTCCATCATGTTTGATACCTATTAAAACAGAGATTCATGTTTACATTACTTGCAAATATTAATGTGCATAGCATTCCATGGGGGGAAAAAAATAAAAGCATTTTACAAGTTGCTTTAATAATGTGGGGGGGAAAACCTCTTGTACCATATAGTTTCAAGATCACAGATTTAAAATATTTTAACCAATACAAGTTATAAACTAAACATGTTCTCTCCTTTCGCTTTACATTAGTAAGAACATAACTCAGTAGCACTAACTTGCTCTCATCCATAAACTGAAATTTAGGTTCAATGCAGATAAACGAGTAAGAATCCTTTAGCACCCTGGCCTGGGCCAAAAACAAGACCTTATCCCAAAAATAACCAAACGAAAAAGGGCTAGAGGTGTGGCTCAAGCGGTAGAGTACCTGCCTTAGCAAGTATAAGGCCCTTGTAAGTATAAGTATAAGCAAGTGTAAGCTCAACCCCCAGTACCATGAAGAAAATGCTTCTTTACTATTCTGTGCTATTAATATCGCTTGTTCAATAAATTAAACTAGAATTTTTTAATATGTGACTTGTGAACATCAGTGTCACCAGTTTATACAACTGGATGATCAAGCACAATGCTCAACAATAAGCAAGGGCTATATAACATACACAAAAGTGACACTCTCCCAGATTCAAGTTCTGACTCAGTTATTAGCTATCTTTGTGCCCATGAAAAAGTCACTGCAACCGAAGCATTTGCATAAAAAATATTGGTACTTATGTCAAAATAATTGGAGGTGGAAAGGGAAAGTAAAGTGGGATTTAGATGAAGCATGATTATCCATATTGAAATTGTCTTGTTGGTGAATGAAGATTCATTATATTATTCTCAAATTTGTCTAGGATGAGAAATTTTCCATAATTAAATAAAAGGAGCCTTTTTCATTTTCAAAACCTCAGCCCCCCTCCCCCACTTTGGAGAAGGCAGTATGTTCTTTAAAGGTAAGGCCATGTATTCTAAAAATCAAGTAAGAATATGTTACATATGCAGGAACTAGAGTACAGAAATAGTAACATTATTACAAGAAATACACACTACTGCTACTTCCTGATTAGAAGAAAACATACATTATTCATTTTCTATATCTGGGTAACCAAATTCCAAACAAAGAGCCAAACTTAAGTATAAGCCTGTGTTTTGACCTGGGGGTGGGAGTAAGAACAAAAGGAGAGGAGGAAGAGGAAGAAGGGAATGAGCACTAAAAGGAAATTAGGATACCTACTGGACTGCAAAAGAGAGTATAATACCTCAACACCAAATGTTTTTATACACACTCCTGCAATTTGCTACTGTACGAATCTCTGACTGCACGGCAGAGAAGACAGAGGTCATAAGTCTCTACTGATTCACAACCATTTTCCCACTCCTACTAGGGGTAAGCAGAGCCTCACCCATCACTTTTTCTATAATGTGAAGAGACAGAAAGAAAATAAAAGTGACTAGAGAAAGGGAGTCAAGTTATGAGACATTTGAAGAGTACAAGTAGGACAATGGTAATTTAAATTAAAGTGAGGACAGGAAAAGCAGAGAGAAACAGTCAAGAGTGATTCAGGACTTACTGGCTATGGGTTAGAAGACAAAGATATAGAAGGAATAAATAAGAAACCATAAATGAGACATTTCAAAAGAAAACAGTAAGTATTCAAAATATTTAGGAATGGGCAATTAATCAGTACAATCAGGTACAATCTAGAGCTACTCTGCTTAAAAACAAGAAGGGCCAGTGATGGTAGTACATTCCTGTAATCCTAGCACACAGAAGGCTGAGGCAGGAGGATTGTTAGTGTGAGGCCAGCTCAGATGACACAGCAAGACCCTGTCACCACAACAAACAAAATTAAAACAAACAAGTCAAGAAGGTAATCACCAACCAAAATCAAATAATACCACACTAATTAGAACTAGAAGTGTACCACTGTGGTAAAGCAGGTAGCAGGCACAAGTCCCTGCGATCAATCTCTAGCACCAAAACTAAATCACACAAAAAAAGGAAAACTTTCACAGAAATGATAAACCTTTCAAAGAAAGGAAGAAGAAATTACGGAACAGAACACTGTGTTCAATGAACCAAGAGGTTTCATGTTTTAGAAGGAACATGAAATATAATCAGAAACTTGGAAGATAAAATTACAGTCAGGCTGAGAGAGAAATGACAAGATCAGACATTATTTCTGACCTGTGTATTTATATTGCCACATTAAATGATAAAAACAAGGGTATGTGATTTAAGATCCTAGTTCTATAACTTACTAGTTACATAATATTTTAAATAAACCTAAACTACCTCAGATTTCAAATGGAAGTAAAGTGACATAGAAGTAAACACACTTTGAAGGGCTTTAAAGCAAAATGCAAATATGAGAAATTATACTGCATTTAATTTATTTTTAAGATAGGATCTCACTATGTATCCCAGGCTGGCCTCAACTCAGGATCCTCCTGCCTCAGCCTCCTGGGTGCTGGAATGACAGGCATGTGCCCCTACCCTGGCTAATTTAATTTTAATATAGATTATTTAATCTATACCAATCATTTAATTAGATAATTTAGTGATCAGAATCACCACATACCCTAGACAAATTCTGCAATATTTATACAGAAATCAAAGAACTTAAAGTCCTCAATTTCTCAGAGAACTTTCAAGCATTCAGGTGTGAATTATGATCGACCTTCTCCATGACTATTCTCTTATCACTACTGTAGCTCAAGTTTTTTCCCCAAAGCTATAGCTTCTCATAGGAACTTATCTTAGTTCCTTTCAACTGTTTTCCCTCTTGAGCTGCTAGGCAAAATCTCATCACTTATTATAAATTTACAGTAATGCTTTCTATACTTCGGTGAATTAAATCAGACTATATTAATCACAAAAATTATTAGCCATAGGCCCAAAAGATACCATATTCTAGCCTAAACAGACCACAAACTACAATAAAAAACCACAAAATCATAACTACCCAACTCAAAGCTATCAACGTTCATAAGTATTATATACTTCAGTCTTTTTTTTATTTTATATACTTCAGTCTTTTAGAGTATACATCAAGGGTTGAATTGCAACTATCATCTATTCTTCTTTTCTAGGGATATAAATGAATATACACAAAAGAGTTTGGCTTTTTTCTTTAATCACAAAAAGGAAAAAAATTAAAGTACCCAAATAATTCACAAACTATATTAAACATTCATAATCATTAGTAAGAATTTACTATACTTTGCTTTAAGTCAGTATGTAATCAATTCCACGTGATGTCCATTTTGGAGTAATTCTTTAATTCTTTCTATAATTATTATTCCCAAAACAACTACCAAAAGTTTACAGTTTCCCCAAAAACAAGATTTTAGGTAAATTGTAAAATCGGCAAAGATCGTGAAGAACTCATAATTATCAAAATTAAATTATGAATTTTCATAAAACTGCAATTAAGAGAGAAATGGCAAGAATCACAATATATTTTATAAATTTTTTAAAATTCACAAATTTTAATAATGAAATAAATGTACACCCTGCTTTATGCATGCATTATACACTAGTTATATTACTGCAAAGCTAAGCATGTATTTAAAATGGAGAAGTATGCCAGAATGTAGTTTCCAAAGACAACCATGCTAATCTACACACATTCCACATGCTCTTGGTAAAAGACAGACACTTCACATTCAGAAGTTCAGTCTACGTCCCTCCCACTGGACCTGGGTAGACATTAGTAATTGCTTTGAATAGTAAGAGTGTGGCCAGCTGGGCACAGGGGCTCATCTTTGTAATCCTAGCTACTCAGAAGGTGGAGTTCAGGAGGCAGAAATTGGAGGGATCGTGGTTCCAGGCTAGCCCAGGCAAAAAGAAAAAAAATTGTGAGATCCCATCTCAATAAACAAAAGCTGGGCGGGTCAGCACCTGTCATCCCAGCTACATGGGAAGCTAAACAGGAGGACAGCAACCCAGACCACCCCTTCCCCAAGCATAAATGTAAGACCCTATTTTAAAAAGGCTGAGGACTTGGCTTAAGTGGCAGAGTGTCTGCCTAGCAAGTGTGAAGCCTTGTGTTCAAACCCCAATACTGCTAAAAAAAAAAAAAAAGAGTGAAGAAGTAACAATAATAGTATGTAACCTCTGAATAGAGTATAAAAGCCAATGCAAATGCCTCTTGGTTGTCTGGATGTCTCCCCTCAAGATTCACACCCACATGCACTGGGAGTTCTACATGCATAGCAAGCCTGCCTACCCTGAAACAGTCAAAGAAAAGACCCCATGGAGACACAAAACAACTATGAAGAAATACCTCAGGAACTCTGGTCGCACTTGCCCCAACTATTTGATTGTCCCAGCTGAAGCCCCAGACACTGTGTAGTAGAGACAAAGCACTCCTCACTGGCTGTCTCCAAATTCCTGACCCACAGGAGCCTAGAGCATCTACAGCATATAAACAGGGTAATTTCTCATGTGACCATAGTAACTGGGACAAATCAAATTGAAAATATCTTACGATGTTTGTCATACTTCCCTACGGTAAAATGTACCAAAAAATAAAAGACCAAAATACTATTTCTAAAAGAAAAATAAAGAGCTAAATATGATTTTAAAAATAAAGAAAATAGAAGTACTAGTAAAAAATTAAAACAGCTTGAGCCAGGTGCCAGTGTCTTGTGCCTATAATCCTAGCTACTCGGGAGACTGAGATCAGGAGGATCACAGTTCAAAAACAGCCCAGACAAAAAGTTAGCGAGACTTCATCTCAACCAACAGCTGCACCTATCATCCCGAACTATATGTCAGGGTGAGATTAGGAACCAGAGTGGTTTCAGGTGGTTCCAAGCAAACCTACGCAAAAATGTATGAAAGTCACCCATCTCAACAGAAAAAATGTTGGGCATGGAGACATGCATCTGTCATCCCAGCATTGGCAGGAAGACTGAAATAGGAGGACCAGAATCCAGGCTGACCTAGGCAAAAAATAAGACCTTCTCTCCATAATAACTAGAGCAAAAAACA